CAACTTTTGCATTCCAGTCACCCATTATTATCAATGCATCTTGATTGCATGTTTGATCTATCTCTGACTGTAAAAGTTGGTAGAAATCATCTATTTCTTCTTTTTTGGCTCTGGTAAATGATGTAAATGATAGATTGTATAAGATACAATGCAAACGAATGATTGTATAAAACACAATGTATATGAATGAAGTAAAATATATATTACTTTTGTGTGCAAGCCAATGGGGGGGAGGTGGGGAAAGTCTATGCTCTTTCAGCTCTCTGTCCCATCAGCTTTTCACAGGATTAACCTGACCTTTTCACCAAAGCCTTGAACACTATAGCAGAGTGTTAACTACATTCTAAACCCATTTTTGTGGATATTTTCCCCCTGACTCAAATTGAGAGAACTGTACAAATATTTCAGCATCAAATTAAACTTTTCAGAACAAAGAACTATACGCTTGAATTCATCTATTTTCCAACTACTGAGCCATATTACTGAATAGCACATGGACTGCCAAAACAACAAAGAAATTTGTCTTAGAGAAAATATTACCAGGGTGCACAGAGATAAAGATGGTGAAACTTTATTTCACACACTTTAGGCATCTTCTCAAGAGGCACCAGTTCTTGGAAACAAGACATCATGCTGAAAAAGGTCTACAAAAGGGAGGAAGACCCTCGCTGAGATGAACTGACACAGCAACTGCAAACAACGGGCTTGAGAATGGGAGAGGATGGTACAGGCTAGGGTAAGGTTTTGGTGTGTTGATTACTGAGTGGGTCACTGTGAGTCCAAGATGACCACAGAACAATAGTAACAAAAAATAAGAAGATCCCAGATGGGATATATTAGCACAGCAACTAAACTAGGCTTTAAACTAACAAAACCAACAATTAAAAGCCCATTAGCTGCTTTCCCCTCCAATCTCGTCTCTGTCCTACAGGAGGGTCGTGTTTTGCAATGTAAGAATGATTCACAGTTACTGCCCTTCCTTACACATCTTTCAGTGCTTTCAAGGCTCTAAGGCAGAGTCTAGTCTTAAACAAGGTGCACAACATGGACTGCTCTCCTCCCTACAGCCTCCTGGTCCACTCTTTATCTTGCTTTCTGTAATCCAGTCCTATTGGGATTTCTTTCACTTCTTCTAATGGACCACTTGCTGCCACAGGGCCTTGGCACAAACTGTTCCCTCTGTCTAGGATGCT